GCGCGTTGTCATGTGCAGCACAAACGACAACGGAGGATAATCGGAGGTGCAAAAAAGGATGGACCGTCCACCTAGCAACAACGAATTTGACGGAGAGAGAGATGGAGGCGCTCACGCGGTTACGAGTGAAACTTGGGAATAGCCACGTCATAGCAAGTTCGTTCAACGAAGACAGAAAAGAAGAATTAACGATGACAGTTAACGATTTTAGCTTGCTAATGGTGGAAAAGAAGTGGTTGAACTCGCAGATAGTAAATTTTTATCTTAACCTTATCCGACCGGACAATGAGTGTCGTGTGAAGCACGTTAATTGCGACTCGAAGAGCGAAAACGTGGTTGGAACTGGGAAGGGGCGCATTCCTACAATAGTTGTGCTAAGCTCATTTTTTTTTTCGAAACTATTTGATAGCGATATGAAGTTCCAGTACGAAAAGGTTAAAATGTGGTTCACAGAGATCGTGATCAGCGACATGGATTTGATCATTGCACCTTTCCACGTCGCGCACAACCAGCATTGGACACTCGTAGTGGCAGACCTACGGCGTAGGAAAAAAGAGTACCACGATTCGCGGACGGCGGATCGTGAACTCGCAGCGAAGGTGACAGGGGGGTTTGCAAGATTTCTGTACATGAGGTCGGTCGAACAAGGCAAAGAAATCGACACTGCTGACTTCAACCATATATGGGAAGTGGAAGGCATTCCGAAGCAGCGCGACTTCAACGAGTGCGGTGTCTTTATGCTGACATATGCATCACTATTGGCGAGAGGGTTTCTTCCACCTTTCAGGTTCACATCAGATGACACGAAGAAAATACGATGCCAGATAGCTTTCGACGTAGCTGTTGTGGAGTAGACGAATTTGTTCCTTTTACATTATAGATGTTCAAACAAATGTGAAACGACCATGTTGTGACCACAACTAGACCTGATATATGATAAAATGAGTTTGTAAGTGTAACGAGGATTAATAATGCGGTTCATRATAAAATGTAACTGATCGTGTCAGAAGTACAATTTACGAGAGGTCATCGTAGGTCTTACCTCTTACACCTCTCCTCCTTACCCCTTACCCCTTACCTGATAACCCTTACCCCTTACCCCTTTACCCCTTATCCCTTACCCCTTATCCCTTACCCCTTATCCCTTACCCCTTACCCCTTACCCCTGACCCCTGACCCCTTACCCCTGACCCCTGACCCCTTACCCCTGACCCCTGACCCCTTACCCCTTACCC